AACTGGTGCTCATTGGTGACTAGCTTCAAGAGGTATTCCCGAAGTTCCAATGAGAAGTCGTGACCGGGGGAGTCAAAGCCTGATGGTCATGAGGACAGATACTCAACGATGACATTGGGTGGCGGTTGCGCTACATCGTGAGCTAACAGAAGTTGGAAATATGGAGCATTGGATTCTGACCCAGTGGGTCAATGGTAACGAGGTGGCCACGGAACTTGAAGGTCGCGGGCTCGATCCTTGGCGGGGTCGTGGGTGCGCACTGCCGAAGAGTCCCATACTAGGACGAAGCAGCTGTCCAGTGCTCTCAGGTTTCCTTTGTTCCTCCAACTGATGTCAGTCTACGATGAATACTAACTTGAGAGTTTCATAGTATTTCTTCACAAATATTCACACTCAGTCACCTCTGTACACATTCACATCTCAACCTTGACCTCCAGACTAAGACATTCGTGTCCATATTGTCACTGTGTATAAAAAACGTGGGCTGACTTGCCTTCATTTACTGTTTGAATATGTGATAACCTGAACAGGTCTTATTCTCTGTAGAAGTGATTTACACGAAGTCATGAAACATCAGAAATGTATTTTGCTACCTCACTGAGATTTTACAAATACATTTCTTTCACTATCCATTTGCAGTCTATTATTAATTTATTGGACAAACTGATCACCTTGAATAACATGTTTTTACGACAGTATCGTTTTCTTGTTATCGAATGGAAAAATGAAGTGTTCGAATGGATTTTTCTGTAATATTATGCATCAATAATCTCGGAAATTCCGATGACATTTGCATTTAATTCCGATCAAATTATCAGTGGAATACATTCAGGGGAATGAGTGAAGTTTTGTCCTAAACATTGCCTTTAGCTTTGAGAAAATTTTGAGGAATTTAAAATATAAGGAGCTGATTTGTCAAGTAAAATAAAGTCGAACAAGTCTTCCATGATTTGGCTGACTCAGCATTTCATAAATGCCGTCAAATGTTGATGTTTTTTCTTTACAGAGGTTGATTTTCAGTTTTTTGGGCAACAGTCATTTGTTTGACATTATATATATGCATTTGTTTCTTTTATGAAATCTAAACTTGATAGTAAAATTTTTGTTCGATACCATGCGAAAATTCATCATAGGAAACATGATACTTATGCCCATTTATTTAATATATTCTTTGAAAGGTAGTAGATTTTGCACATGCCTTTCTGAGGAATATTTCTTTCTGTTATAAAAGAGGATATTTATTTTCTTACTGTTCAGAAGGCCAGCGATGGTTATCATATATGTTAATTATCATTTGACTGCCTGTGACAGCTGTAGTTTGACAGGCTAGTATTTATACTGCATGAAGATTGAAGGTGAAATGAAAGTTTGGACCGCACCTGGATTCGAACCAGCGACCATCGGGTTTCCGGCCCAATTCTCTACCAACTGAACTACAAGATCCAACTGTTAACCAGATTTTTATTTCATTTCAATTACCAAGGTTTTGCCCGACTACCATGCGAATTCGTGACGCGTTACTACTGCTTGGCTAGTCGTGACTTTTCATTCCAATCTCAATCTAACTGAATTAGAGAGGGAGAGCATCATATTGATTATCATTTGACTATCTAAGATAGCCATAGTTATCACCAGAAACGCAATGGTGGCTAATTCAAATCTGGCCGCGGTCCAAATTTTTGTTTAACCTTCAGTCATCACCCAGTATAATTGTGTTAATGATGATGACCAGATTATAAGTTGTTTGAATATATGCAAGTAAATATTCTAAGAGACTGTGATACTTATTCAATTTTATGGAGTACTCAAGACAAACTTTCAGAAAGCTTACGAGATGAATAACTTTTAATGACCTGTATGAATGAGCAAGAAGATTTTAGTCGAGGTTATAAAATTAGAGTGGTGCTAGCATGCAAACTCCACGGACTCTTCACTGAAAAGAAAGTTGCATAGTCAGGTACAAACAAAGCTCAACAAAATAACATATAAATAATCCATAAACGTGATGAAGTGACCCAACCAACAACAAGCACCATCAAAGGGAGAAACCCAAAGAAGTTGCCTCTTTCACCTACCTAGACAAAATCGTCTCAACTACAGGCGACACAGATGAGGATGTCAAAACCAGGATCGCGAAGGCAAGACAGGTCTTCCTTAATCCGAAGTCAGTGTGGAGATCCACTGCACTCCACTACACTCAGCACAAAGCGTCAACAAGATCCGGATTTTCAACACTAATCCAGTCAAGCCAGTGCTACTATATGGTTCAGAAACTCGGCGCATCACGAAAAGCATTTCCAACAAACTACAGACATACATCAACAGCTACAGCCCACGCTCACTCGATACTGACAGTGAAGATCAGATGGCCAGAAAGAATAAACAACAAGGAACTCTGGCTGGCGACGAACCAACCAAGAACCCATCACCCAACAAATATGTAGAAGAAAGTGGAGATGAGTTGGATTGTGCAAACACTGAGGAGACCATTTGGGGACATCACACGTCAGGCTAGGCCTTCGAGTGGAATGTAAAGGGGGAAACGACGAGTTGGGCATCCGAGTTGAGGGTGACATGGAGGGATCATGTGAGGAAAAAAATGAGAGCTTCTGGAAGTGGTGGAGCCAGGTTAAAAAGACTGCAGAGAAGGGAGTGGAGTGGTGACGTGCTACTGATGCTCTATTTTCCACTAGGAACCCAAGGGACTGATAATAATAATAATAATAATAATAATAATAATAATAATAATAACCTCGCGAAAAGAAAGGTGTCAACGCAGTTTAGGGAACTTTTACGAAATACTTCATGCTGTTCTAGGTATTACAGTCAAGAAGTTTGACATCAAATGAGCACGTCACTAAATACAGTTTTATAACATTTATAATCTGAATATGTGATTCTGTGGATGACAGGATAGTATGTGAATTTTCGTATAGTTTTAATACGTTGTTTCATTCGTTCCTTAAATATGATAAGGTAGTAAAACAGAATGTTTATTATGAGCCAAAACCATATACAGCAACATATACTCACGATTATATAATTACAAGTATCCGTCTTGGTTTTGGAGTACTCAGGGAGATTGTTATCACAGTTTTCGTGAACACATTCAGTTCAGTGACTACACTCATGGTTCCCTGGAAACTTTAGAGTAACCTGATTGGTTGTGAATAAACTCAGCAGTTTTCAGTATCTGTTAAGATTCATTAGGTAGATGTTGAAAGTTTGACTAATACGAAGTATTAGTAATGAGAATTTGTACAGCCAGTCAGAACTCACGGCTAAAAAATTATCTATCCCAAATATCTAGATATGCATGCCTGTGCACACTTCTGAGTTATGTTTAACAGATTAAGCGTTACAAATGCACGTTAGGTACAGTCTTTATTCGCATCATTGCTTTGTTAAACAGAGAATTACAACACTTTTATGTTTTCAGCTCTTGTTATTTCTATTGGATAGGTATCAAGTATGTGTCATGAAGTTAAAAGATTAAAGTCTGATGTTGGTTACTACGCTAAATTCTATTTAGCCGCTTCATTCATGGTTTCACAGTTAAAGTGAAGTTGTAGGAAATAAATGTTAAATTCTTCACTGTATTTATTTCATGCTGGTGTTTCCCATTTGTATTATTTACACACTGGCGGTTTGGAATGAAATATGAAAACTTCAGATCAAATAATTTGGCGAAAGTTTTAAATTTAAGTCTTGGATATTTCCATAAGTTTATCATATAAGTTAACTTTTTTAAGGAAAGTCTAGCAACAGGAAATTGGAGACTAAGATGGTGATATTTGAGTGTATTTCTTAGAATATTTCGGAGACCCTTCTGTAAAACCTTTCCCTTTATCAAATGATTTTGAAATCATCATTAGGAGCGTAGTTTCAACAGTTCTTCGTCTTGTACCCTATAGAAGACAGAAAGAAATATGTCTCTTGAGGTCCTAGCCCTATAACCGTTCATGTGGGCTGACGATGTCATTCAGTCAGGTAATGAAACAACTCCTATCGAATATCAAGCTCAGAGAGCACCAAAATATTTATTTAGGGATTTCAATCTTAGTTTACTTCGCTTTAAGACTCCTTAATTCAAATACTTGTCTCATGAAACTTTTGACTCATGAGACATGGGCTTGCAAGTAATCATTTTCATCTTTGTCTATCTCAGAATCTAAGCTACGTAAATGAAGGATTCATTGGTAGCGTAAAATGCAGGCAAAGAATTAAAGTATACGACGATTTCATGACAACTAATAACACAACAGTAAGTAAAGAGCAGAAACCTCGTGAGGATAATAAGTCTAAGTGGTTAACACTAAAATCACCATCATTTTTTAAGTATTGTAAATTTAAATCAGTATGTTACAACAGTCGATATGGCTGATGGTGAATTTTTACCCCTAAAATATGCTGCGTTATACGTCATAATTTCATAAAGCATAAGAAACCAGGGAATGTAATCATTTATAATATATATCATTTTTGTTTGGAAAAACTACCAAAAGTATGGTTCTATTCCTTATGAATACCTAATAATATTGCTTTTTACAATGAGAACAAAGTTGTAGTTTAACTGGTGTCCAGTTTTCGGACTTTTCGGCTGAATTTAACCGGCACCCCAATGAGTGATGGTGTCTCCACTGAGACTCAAACCCCACACATATCACTTCAAACGCCTAACTGTTATCCAACAGGCCACTAAGTAACGCTGGTACAAAAAGGAAATAATATTTCCACATAACTGCAAAGTATACTAAGTTAATTTCATCATGTTTTTGCTCTATTTATGATTATAGAGACAAAAATGGCCTGTTCAAATGCATTTTATTGGTCAACTTAGCGTACACACACATTCATTTATTTGTTATTGAACTAAAGAATGTGTGTGTTAGAATTACAAAAGCAATTCATAGAACCGTTGTGGTTTTGAAAGTGAGCTACACTTCAGCATAAAGTCAGTTATATTTAATTAATAGATTTGCATGTAAACGTCAACTTACCAAACTTTTGCATTTGACTCTGAAGATAATTTGAAGTTTTTTCATCCTCACAAATATCATAGGGAATTAAGCCATCTGCGTTGCAAGCTTTTAAATCTGCACCACTGATGATGTGTATATGAGGCACCAAAATGAAAAAAAAGAAAACATACAACTTTAGGGTACACTCCAATAAACCAATGTTAACCACCTAACTGCGTTTGAAACTTAAGCTTAAGAAGTATAGTAAAACCAGTAAATGTATGTTCAGAAATTCATTCTGAACCTATTTCTTGACTGGCACTACAACAGTTTTTCAGAATGATCCAAATTAAGTGAGCTACTCATGCATCCACAAATGAGAAGGAAGACATTTGCAGGATGACGTAACTCCAAGAATTCTGCAGTTAACTGAAATCAAATCGCATCACAAAATGATAAAATAAGTATGAGAAGTGTGGGTAAGAAAAATTGATTACATCAAACGCTTGTAAGACAAAATGAATTCGGGAATATAAATATGGCTTAAACAGGCAGTGGTAAGCTAAAATGTATACTAAGGATTATATAACCAAACCGCAAAAAAAAGCAGTCAACCGCTGCAAAGAAAAAGAAACGGTAAACCATTGAGACTTAAGGTGCACACGAAGATTCCAGAGAAACTGAGACAAACAAATAAAGGGTAACACAGAACAAGAAATAAAAAAGTCGGCATAAAAAAAATACACAAATCGAAAGAGGCAATCATATGTGAGAAAATATAAAGCCAAGAAATATCGCCGCGATCTGTCTGTCTATCTATCTATCTATCTATCTGTCCAACTTTCTGTGATTGCTTTCGTGGATTGATGCAGCTTGGTGTGGGTCGACGTATCCGTGTATCCATTCATCCTTCTTGTTTTGTTGCTATTGGAATATCTGGTTTTGTGTGGTCCTGTAGTTTTTTTCTTGGCGGTTTTTGGAAGATGTTTTTCTACTATGGGGGATTTTGATTGTTACGTCTTAGTTTTACTTTTGGTATTCTCTTTTGTTTCTCTTATTTGGTTTTTGGAGCTGATTGGCATGTTTTCTCCCATGCGGATTACTAGATTGTCAGTGGGGAATTCAGCACTCTTTTGGTATCAGGTGCTGCGAGTTGACGATGCCTTATTTTGTCGAAACCTACGTGCTGGGTTTTTCTGCTTGCCATGTGCACGCGAATTGTCATAACATCCATTCATACAATATCGCGGTATCCGCTGAGTCGTCCATATGCTTAGAAAGGTTGAACTATTGTGTACAATATAACGATTGAGAGTAACTAATACACTAATAAATATTAAGAACTAATACCCGTTGTGCAAGAAGTGGTTATCGCGCCTCCTTGGCATAGTGGATAACACCTTGGTGTCAGAAACGGTGATTATGAGTTTCGAGTCAAATAGGAACAACATCACTCACTGCATGTACATCCAGGGGACGAGTCCCAAGAAGGACATAACGCCAATCCTGGATTCTTCTGCTAGCCACAATCAGGTTTTTATTAGTATTTGCTATCTGGCATTCATCCTTCACTTCTATATTGTTACTGTAATAATTAAAATTAATTAAATTTACACCTAACATATCCCATGTTTTTGAAGCATATAAAACAAGTGATTTGCCAGAGCGCTCGATACTCATAAAAAAGAAAAGTGCAAATCCAAAGGGAACCATTGCTGTAAATTCATTTTTGGTTCCTAACCGAATTTGTCTGTCTCGTTAATGAGAGTCACTTTATTTAGCTGCATGTATTCACAGAAGTATACATATTTCTTGTAGATATTTCTACCTCGTCCATTTTCTCTTAAAAAACAACAAGTACGTTAATAAGATCAAAAAGATAAAATTATGTTTATTATATTTATAAAGTCGACTGACGTTGGTTTCAAAGGTCAAAAGTAGAACAAAACTATTTCGTAGCGCCAATCGATCCTTGGTACTCATAATGCTGACTTGTATTTATGGCTGCGAAAGTTTCAGGTTTCATGGAAAATCTCAACTCAACCGTCAGTGTTCTATGCTTATAATTAAATGAGCAGATGTGCAGATTTTACAACTAGTTAGTGCATAATTAATTGTTGATTTCGTATTGAGAAGCAAATGGTCTGACAAACTTGCGCCTACAGAAATTCCCTTAGGCGATCCCTGAAATGACCTCAGAAGCGTAAAGGAGTTAATAGATAGTGGTTGAACTTGTGTCTAATCACTTCATCATTAAACAGTGGCGTGCGATGAATATTATGTTTCCAAGTACAGAGAAATAGTGTCAGCGCCAAATGAGAAGAAATTCGACTTTTATTTACATCAATCAAACTACACTAAAAACGACCAAGTATAAGATGATAAAGAAATATAACCTGAGAAATCAGATAGATATTACGCTGTATCCTTTAACTGCCAATCAAAATTTCTGTAAAGCTCTATGGAAACTAAAAAATTGTGTCTTCTTAGGGTACCGAGAAATAGTTATTAGCAATAAACCTTGTTTTTTAGTTGTAGAAATTCACCGCAACTGAAAATTTGAGATACCCTGCTAAGGAAAAAAGAGTACACTGAAAACATGTCTGTATTTTGATATGCTGATACTGCCATTTTAGCATTTATCAATACAAACCATCCGTTTTCCCATCTTATGCTTTTTGTTTTATTATCCATGACGTTTGGGATGTAAAGCTCTGTTTCTGGGGTAATTTCGGCACACTTAGGTAAGTATGCGTATGTTCTTCACAATGCCACATGCTACAAACCTACTTAGTTTTTTCTTAATGTAAATTTCATACATGTACTTATTTTATAATTAAACTAAATGATACACTGGATACTAAAGTTTTTTTCAGAAAGTTTTCAGGTTTCATTATCAATGAAAGTCATCAAAAAAATGAGTTAGCATGTGTGAAGATGATCGCTTTCTTCTAGTACATTGAATGTATGCTGCATCAACGAAAAACATTACCATGTAAATAACTGTTCAAAGCATGATTTTAAGAACTCAATGGTCTTCTTTTTAATAATCAACTGGCATTCGCAGCATATAAATGATCATCGTTTTCGACTATCTGAGATAGCCGTGGTTTGGTAGGCTAGTATTGTAACTGAGTGATGATTGAAGATGAAATGTAAATTTGGACCGTAGCCGAATTTGAACCAGCGACCATCGTGTTTCCGGCCTAAGGAACCTCGTAACGCAGTTAGTAGAGAATCGGGCTGGAAACTTGATGGTCGCTGGTCCGAGTCCGGCCATTTTCAAAATTTTCATTTCACTCTCAATCATCACCCAGTAACAATACAAACGATCGTCATCCTAGATTTAAAGAATCGCTACTTAAGCTGTAAAAGCTGCGTAGGATTTCCGTATCATTTGCAATCAACTAGACTTAGAATGTTGTATTTCCTATGAAATTTCCAATTAGCGAATTAAGTGTTTTCTGAAAAAAGTCAGATTTTGAATAAGGAATGAGAGGTATTCATGACACAGAGAAATGAAACATTTTGCTCTCACTTCGTATTTCATCCATTTAAATATAAACACCTTTTGAAAAAAATTGGTTTCACTTTTCTTTCCTCGCGTTATCTTATGAACTCCATAATTACACAAAGAAAATGTAATCAAATCTCATTTTATATGTACTTCATAGAAAAAAAACCTCGCCTGGTTAACTAGTTTACTAGTTACTAGCCTGTCCTAAGCCCGGGTAAACAGGGAAGGTTGGGCATAGGGCTAGCAACCCTACCCCGTAAAACAAATCTAACCGCTAAAGAAACTTCAAAGCACAAACAAAATATAAAAATGAAAACAAACTTATTCCCCGCTGGAATCGGAGAGGCGAAATGACACCAGTTGGTGAAAGCCTTCGGGAAGCCAATTGGCCGATGTGTCTTCTCTCTCTCGATGAAAGCAAAAGTAAACGTGGGGACATGGAATGTCCGCACGATGTTTGAACCCAGTAAGGCAGCCCAGATTGCAAGGGAGATGAGAAGGTATCACATCGAAGTGCTTGGGATTTGCGAAAGCAGATGGAATGGGAGTGGACTCTCCAAACTGTCAACTGGAGAATCAATAATCTACTCCGGTCACCCAGACGCCAACCACGAGCACACTGAGGGAGTGGCTATCATGATGTCCTCAAGAGCATCGAAGGCTCTCATGCAGTGGGAACCAATCTCCTCCAGGATCATGACAGCAAGATTCAACTCAAAAGGAAGAAAGGTCACAATCATACAATGTTATGCACCTACAAATAATGCAGAGCAAGAGAAAAAGGAGGATTTCTACAGACAACTTCAATCAACACTGGACAAGACGTCAGTTGGCGATATCAAAATTCTGATGGGCGACATGAATGCCAAACTGGGATGGGACAACACGGGAAGAGAACTAACCATGGGTCGAGAGGCACTAGGTGAAATGAATGAGAATGGAGAATTGTTTGCAGAATTCTGCGCATTCAACGATTTGGTGATTGGAGGCAGTGTGTTCAGGCACAAAGATATCCACAAAGCGACATGGATTTCACCAGATGGACACACTAAAAATCAAATCGACTTTATCTCAATCTCAAGAAAATGGAGACGCAGTCTACTTAACACAAGGTCAAGAAGAGGAGCAGATGTAGGTTCAGACCACTATCTAGTGCAAGGAACCTTCCAAATCAAGTTAAAAGCCTTCAAGGAAGCTGGTGACAGACCTCAATTCAAGTACAACACTCGGAAACTGAAGGATGAAACTACAAAGGAGATCTTCAAGGCAGCCATCAAGACAAAATGGGAGACATCGAGCAACATCCCTGAAGAAACCTGTGTGGAAGAACATTGGAAGTCTTTGAAAGCTATGTGGAAAGAAACCTGCACAACAGTATTAGGAAGGAAGAAGAAAGAAGACAAGGAATGGATCTCGACGGATACCTGGAAGCTGATAGAGGAGAGGAGGATGGTGAAGCAGAAGATAAACCAGTGCAAGGATGCTCAACGACAAGAGGAACTGAGCACAATGTATAAAACACTGGACAAAGAAGTGAAGAAGAGTGCACGCAACGACAAAAGACACTTCTACGAAACACTGGCAAGTGAAGCAGAACAGGATGCAGGTAAGAGAGACCTGACGACATTGTATCAAATAACCAGGTTGCTATCAGGGAAGAGACCAACACAGATGAAACCAATAAAAGATCATGACGGAAATTTAATTACGAAAGAAGAGAAACAGAGGAAACAATGGGTCAACCACTTCAAAAAGCTCTTGAATCGACCACCACCTGCATTTCGTCCAGAAATACCACCTGCAGCCGCTGAATTACAAGTGAACATTAATCCCCTAAAGGAAATGGAAGTCCTGATCGCCATAAAGCTACTGAAATGTGGGAAAGCAGCCGGACCAGATGGAATCCCACCAGAAGCACTGAGAACAGACGCAGAGACAACAGCGGCCATGCTCACACCACTACTGCAGAAGGTGTGGAAGGAAGAGAAGGTACCTGGCGATTGGAAGAAGGGTCACCTTGTCAAACTGCCGAAGAAAGGAGACCTCAGTGTATGCAAGAACTGGCGCGGAACCACCCCTGTCCACCTAAAGCAGGCAAAATATTAAGCCGCATCATCCTGGAGAGGCTTAAAGATGCACTGGATTCAAAACTACGACCCGAACAGGCTGGCAGGCTTCAGGAAGTACAAATCATGTGCAGACCAAATTGCAACGCTTCGCATCATCATAGAACAGAGTATAGAATGGCAATCAGCTCTCTGCCTCAACTTCATCGACTTTGAGAAGGCCTTTGACAGCGTCGACCGAGAAGTAATTTGGAAACTGCTTCAATACTACGGAGTACCGCAAACCTTTATCCGCCTCATTCAACAACTATATGAAGATGCCACATGCCAAGTAATTCACAATAGGAAGCTCAGTGATGCCTTTGAAGTGAAGACAGGAGTGAAACAAGGTTGCCTACTATCCCCCATGATATTCCTGATTGTGGTCGACTCGACTGGATCATGCAGCAAACAGTAGGCAGCGAGAAGACGGTGATACACTGGACCACGGAAAAGAACCTAGAAGATTTAGATTTTGCCGATGACTTGTGCTAATGTCACACAAACTTGAAGATCTACAGTCGAAAACTAACAAGTTGATAGAAGAGGCAGGGCAGCGAAGACGGGACTTCAGGTGAATATAGAGAAGACAGAAGTGATGAAGATACCGCACCACCACCATCAACAACAACAAAAAACTCCAGTCACCATCAACGGGAGAAACTTAAAGGAAGTAACCTCCTTCACTTATCTAGGAAGCACTGTCTCAACTACAGGCGGGACGGACAAGGACGTCAAAGTCAGAATCGGAAAAGCAAGACAGGCGTTCATTAGCCTGAAACCAGTGTGAAGATCTTCTGCACTCAGCATGCGGAACAAGATACGGATTTTCAACATCAACGTCAAGTCAGTGCTCCTGTATGGTTCAGAGACTTGGCGCGTCACGAAAGGCATTTCCAATAAACTACAGACATTCATCAACAACTGCTTACGCTAGCTGACTGAAGATCAGATGGCCAGAAAGTAAGAATAAGCAACAAGGAACTCTGGGAACGAACCAACCAAGAACCTATCACGCAACAAATATGCAGGAAGAAGTGGAGATGGATTGGTCATGCACTGAGAAGGCCGACTGAGGACATCACGCGTCAGGCCCTCGAGTGGAATCCCCATGGGAAGCGACGAGTTGGACGTCCAAGGGTGACATGGAGGAGGTCGTGCGAGCAGGAAATGAGAGCTTCTGGGCTGTCGTGGGACCAGGTTCAAAAGATCTCAGAGAACAGAGGTCACTGGAGGCGTGCTACTGAAGCCCTATGTTCCACTAGGAACCCAAGGGACTAATAATAATAATAATAATGACAATTTTACCTGTACAATTAAAACTAGAAAGTTTTGCGGATAAGTTAATAAACTTAGCTGATATATATTATTAATAAATGCACTGCATAATAGTGAAGAATCCTCCAGTTATAGTTGATGCTCTGAAAAAGCATATTATTCACTGAATTTAAGCTTACCGTTCGATCAATAGCTGACAGATTTGTAAATAACCACATGTTGACGCAGCGTGCAGAGGCGTCCAACGATCTGCATCACGGGCATTCACGTTTGCACCATAATTGAGTAATATATTACACAAAAAAGCATTATTGTCTATACATGCCTAAAACATAAAAAATATTTACTTTGATAATAATATCTTAAGATCTTGACCAAAAGCAGGGAACAACAACTAGTTACCAAAATAACTGATTTAATAAGCCTTGAATAAACAGTTAATACATAATACACGGCGATATATAAAGTTAAAGGAGGGCATGTTAGTTATAAAATCTAATGTATACTGTTTTGACATTCATCTCTTAAGCCAATTTTATTTTTAGGTAACTCGAGAAATAGGGTGATTTATGAAATCAATGAAATGGGAGCCAATTTTAAAACTGAGTCTGATGGTTTAACGATATTGGTAGGCTAAGGTTTTCCATCAGTTTTCACGGTAAGGTTTGCATTCTTAAATAGCCATTCGATACCGTAAAACACACTTCCCTTGGTTTTCCAATCAGAACATGATGTTTACAACAATCTACTAAAACGTTGACGTTTATGGTTATATTTTTTCGATTATGATTCAGTGATCTTATTTGTTGCGCTATTAAAAGAAGCCGAAACAAAAGACTTAGTTTTGGCCTGTTCACTTAGGGTGAAAGTAACAAATTAAACCCAAACTGACATATATTACTGAGCCTTAGTTATTTGTTATGCTACTGAAATTTGTCTAATAATGACTCACTATTGCTATTGCCTAAAATAGGGTTGAATTAATTTTATTTTTTATAGATATTCTAGAAATGACTATCTTAAGAGGAAAAGCTAAGTTCAGCCAGGAAATATTTTTGACGTTTTCATTCTTTACAACATTCTATATAGTCACAATTTATACATGTTCTTCACATTATATTGTATGGAAACAAGAATTATCTAATTAAACCTAGTAACAAAGATCAAAATGAATGAAGATCAAATATTCACATGTGCGAGGTGAGGTGAAAATTACCCATAAAAAGGCACATAAACCAACATAATTAACAGGATGGAACAGATTCCCAGATTGAAATAATAATTTCCAAGGTTGAACGTGGTCAAGGTTAGCATTGAAATTGAATGAAGATGGTGTTGGATTCTTAAAATATTTAATAAAATATATCAAACTTATGAATATTAAGAGAGGTTGACGACGTTAGCTATTTAGTGAATTCATGGTAGCAACATAGGATGAGCAAGCCTCTGTTTAGACATAATTTAGGGTTTGTATATGAATATAGCGAGAGCTCCTGTACGGCAGAGAAAAAAAGAACGTACAATTTTCAGAAACTTTCTTTTCACCCCGTGAGTGATATTGAAAACTGGATCATTTGTGATGGTGTGATTGGTGTTGACAAGGTGCTCGATTGTTGCACTTCTGGTGGATCCACTGGCATCTTTGCAGCAGCCAGGATAAGTAATGTCTTCTAGCCAGTTTGGAAAGGACAGGCATCCAAGGACTATAAAACAGTTTTGTGTTCTCTTATTAATCATTTCATGTTGTTACAATAATTCAAAAGCCTATTCAACAAATATTGAAATCTGAATGATCTAGTACTCATTATCGCCTAAAATACTAGTTGTGCTTACATTCAGAATTTTTAAACTCTGACAACAAAATAGCTGTTTACACACACCTTATAAGAAGCTGTCAACTCATTGGTATAAATCATATATATGTTTGTACAAGTATATTGATTATCACATGTCAGGTTGAGAATTTACTCATATTTCAGAATAAATCAGCCATTCTAGTGTTCTGATTCCAGAATCAGTATTGATTTATCGTGACAGAAATAGAGAGAAACACCTAAATACTATATGACAAAAATGAGAATCCGAAATTGGAGTAACACAGAAACTAACAGATGAACTACAAAGTGTAACAGAATAACATCATAAAGACGCAGAAAACAGAAGGAGGAATCGGAATAAAAACAGAAGTGGGTTAGTAAAGAAGCAGTTTCAAGCTTACATCCGAAGAAGAAACCAAGACTTTGGTTTTCCTGTAGAGTAGTAGAAGGAACAAGAAAACTCCAGCATAATCGTCACACTTTTTGATTCTAAGTACGTCTCAAGTCACTGAGTTGACCAATCTATCCAACCTAATCCAGTGAGTGGTAAGGCATTAACAGACGCTAACCTTGGATATCTGTCACTAACCACCTTTCCGCTGCTTCTAACCAGTCCCAGAGCAGACAGAGAGTGAGTGATTTCTGGGCCATTGAGATGAAATGTATAACACATACCTGAGCCACCGAATAAAATGCTTCAGAATGACCACCACCAATGAGCAGCGATTTCCGTCACACGCAAACACATCATGTCTCATCTCGGAATTATCTATTTGATGTTTCCACCAGCTGGGAGCAATCCTGTGAGGAAAACGGTGGTCAAGAATACAAAGTCATCGAACATCCCCATGTAGAAGACTCCAAGTTCCACAGGTGGAAAGCAGAACTGCTCACACCGAAGCTCTGTGTATCCGAACTTTCATACCAAAGTTTACGTTACAACAGTGACGAAGATGGTTCAGATTAGCGTACGCTGCCCTGACCTCTGACATACAGTTGGAAATCTCATCCGTCACACCTCCACCAGCACTCGCATAGCTACACAGGTATACAAGCGATTCTACTACTCCCAGTGATTGACTATCAAGCTTGGTTGCAGGCACAGGCTCCTATCAACCAATCTCGTAAGACTGCTTTGTATTTTGATGGTGAAAGAAACATACCGTACTTAAGGACATAGATCTCCAATTGATTGACAGCGATTTAAGTAACCTGTGTGTTGTCATACAGTGGAACGACATCGTACACATACTACAGATCACAAATTCTTCCACCTGTTAACAAGTCTACACCGTCACCACGTTCAGAAATGGCGATATCAGATAACCCTGCCTAATCTTACCATTGGTGGAAACAATAGGAAGAGATAGCTGTGTGCTTCCAATCGACTTGAATATTTTAGGCGTAGGGCTCTCAACTCGCTAAAATCTTCTTAGATATAGCCCTCTGTATTGTACAGCCTCAGAGTACACCCATGCCTAACGAATCGAAAGCAGCCCTAATACAATGGAGTAAAATGATCGTTGGCCTGCAATATGTGTGACGGTGATCGAGCATCTGACGCAGAGAGAACTCATGGTCCACGCACCCACGACCTGAACGGAACTAAGCCTGCTCTTTGTGGGTCAGGCTGCTATGCGTTTTAAATAGCCCGCGAAGAATGATAGCAGTCAATACTTCAGATGCTACCAGAAGTAGACTGACACCTTGATGGTTATCACAAACATTGGATATATTCCTTTCAAAGGTAGGTACAATAATGGTTTCATTCCAGAGTGACGGAACGCTTTCACTTGTTCCTACCTTCATAAACAGTGTAGTCAGTTCCGTGACTACAATCTCACCTCTATGCTTGGAAAGGGCTGGGGATAGGTTGTCTAAGCCGTATGCTTTCCGAAGTCTCCTACTGACCTCCGCTTCATTAGCTGTATTGATGTTGACGGATCGTGGATTACAAGAAATTGAGGTTTATCTTGTTGGAACAGCAGGCGAGCTGAACTGTTTCTCGAACTGTCCCGCCTGGCTTGAAATCTGGAGGAAGTGCATCACGTACGACACTACCAATGACTGGTATGATCTGAGCAAGCTGCAGAACATGTTCCATGTTATATCACCTCAAATTGCATAAACTTCATTGGCCCAACTGTACTACTCCGCATGTACTCAGATGTCCGACCTGAGAATTCAGGCACCCAGCTTGCACTACAATATCTGCCGAGTGCACCTGTTAGGAATGGTCGCTCAGTTAATGGTAGAACTCATTCTCAACTGTATCCGAGTTGCAGCCAGTCAAGGCGTAGACAGTCATCTGTCACTCCAACTGAACACTATAGCCTAGCAGCACACAGATGACCACTGATGAGGTTGTAGACTGCTAATACAGCTTTAGCTGCAAGGGATTAGCGTGAAAGTAATTCCGCCAAAGCCGGTTGCTTATGCCCCTGTCTCTCCGGATAAGTGGATTTTACATACACATCTCCAGCTGACGTGAGAAAGTTATTCAAAGCACTTCACTGACACATTGTATGCAATTATATGCGATATAGCACACATTATTGGTGGGATTTCTCAATACACAAGCCAAGCCTGTCTGTTCGTCGACCTGCTTCAGTGTGCGGAATCAACTATTCACTTTAATTTCATGAATTATCACCACAAGCCCATGTGGTAAGTTAAAGTTTTCAACGTTTCTTTTCAGCACAATAGAGCTATAGAGCTAAAGATTACACACCTTCTTCCGGTATGTGAATACCTTGAAACACTTGAAAACTACACCAGAGGATCCATGCATAAGTTTTAGTGAGCTCTTCTAGCAATTTCTACAAAATAACAGCGTATTCAAGTAAAGTACTTTAAATAGTGCCAGAAATTAGTGTGATCACGTGCAATACTTTTGCTCGAAGTATTACAAAAATGAAATGAAATCGTGGTGTGTAAATATTCATCACAAATATATTTATAGCAAATTGGTTCTCTCCACAATGCACAAATTTTCTATGGATACTCTGTGCACTTCAACAAATACGTGGACGATGGATAATGTAATATATAATCAAACAGTTGACAACAAGATCTCTTTTCATACCCACACTTTAGTTATACAGATAATTAGTAATAAATATCGGAACTAATTCCCAAATAAAGTACTTGTGAAAAAATCTTGTTTAGTGAATTTTACGTTCGTCAAGAAGAGACAAATATAGGCGGGCTAAGACCTTGCTCGGCCGCCTCGAATTCACAAAACTAAATGACATGATCAATTTGCTACAGCAACTTACGTCTAGGCAGGTATAAGAGCATTCACAAAAGAGATGTGGGAGAATGTGAACTATCAACGTAACACCGTGCATCCGTTCACGTTGCCACACTGCGTAATAACATGCAGAGGGCAAGTGAGTTGAAAAGACTTACTTATATCAAAGTATACAAACGTCTATGAGAGGTGAAAGAATCTTAAGATAAAGATTAGTGAAAATATTCAAGCTTTAGAAGACGTCAAAGAATGAAT